GGTAAGTACGTTGATAGCCATAGGAAATGATTTATTACAGCACTGTAGCAGATTTAGGTTGAGTTGATGTTCATGTCAAAATTTGCTTTGGCTGAAATCAATTTGATAGTCCCTTTCTCCCAATACACAGATACTTAAGAAGCAATATTTTTTATTCTGCCACTGACCCTCTTTGACAAATGATGGATATTTTGTCTCTTTGTGTATTGAAACTCTTGTATAAATTAGGAAACTTTGCAATAAACCCATATTACAATTTATTTCACATTTCTGTTTTCCATCTTCTTATCTCGAACTAAGCACATTACGAGAGATCAGCAATATTGAGTTGCATGCAAATGTTATTGAAGAACTATGCTACAGGGACAGGAAACACTTTCTTGCACTGGTACCAGGCATAATGATAGCCTCTGGGTTAAAATGAATGAAATCCTACTGTGTAATCAGCGTGGCTTACATTTGTGACTTTACAAAGGGTCTTTTAAAAAGCAAGGCAAATTCTTAATACTTTTTCAAAATAAAAAAATAAATAGTAACTTCATAATGGGTATACTGATAGGTAAACCTGGAAATTATAATGTTTGGTTCATATTCATGTTTTACTTTCACCAGTATAGGTGAAAATTGGGTCCTCAACTAAAACGTAAAGTGTTTCTTAGAGGTTGTTGCTGATTTAATCTCAGTAAGATCACCTTTACTTTGTTACAGATTCTTTACTAGGCAGTACAATAAAGCACTACACAGTAGATTGTAAAAATCATAGAGCCTTAGAAATTAGGTATAGAAAACACATATTGAGACATCTAGTCTATTCCATCTGTTAGTACAGGATTCCTCCCTATGTTATATTTTCTAATGGTTTTTATAATATTCTTTGAAATTATAGAATTCCCATTGCTTTCCATGGATTTTAGTATAAAATTAATATTTAGTAAATTATATCTGTATCTTTAGCTTATTTTTTCCTTCATCTTAAATTCTTATTATTATTTCTAGTTTTCCTTTGTGCCACTTTAAATAGTTTGCTCTCCTTCAAAGCTGAGCCATATTTAAAATGTTTGTGGTACATTATAACATCAACAGTTTCCTAAGTTTATTGACCTGATCCTCTTTTACACTAATGCCAACATGTGAAAACTACATTTGCTCATTTTTAGGATCTCTTAGTGCTATGAAGGTGGCCTTAGTGTAAATCAGAACAAGCCTCTTTATGTATTTAGGTCTTTTACTCTTTACATATAAGGATCTCCCTCTAGCCCACTGGGACTGAAACGTTTCTCGAGGTGTACCGGTAGTTCGGAATAGGAATCCTAGTCCGAACTACCTAGTTCAAGCCCCGTGTAGCCGCGCTGCACGGGGTTCGAACCAGCGGGGTTTTAAAAATGGCGGCTCCCCGCTTATGCAAATGAAGCCCGGGAAATTCAAATCCCGGGCTTCATTTGCAAGTGCGGTATGCCTACATAGTGTAGACATACCCTAGGAAAGTATGGAGGGACAACAACCCATTGCTGTTATTAGATGTGTGCTTTCAAGCTAATGGTCCTGGGTGAAAATCCTGCTGATAATCCACACTGACAAATGGCAGGGTAAACATGATGAAAGTTATCCTTTTCAGTTTTCTGTTCTAAAAAAGCTAAGCAATTACATGTTTAGAAATCTCTTATAAGAATGTAAAGGTTATAAAACAAAGCACTCAGAAATTAGGAAATGCTAGAATTCAAATAGTTCAAGCAACCTTAGTTGGGTCCCCTTGTGCGTTGATACACATCTCTAATTATGTCTTTTCACATGGGCTATTCTATAGAACCTGTGAGTTATTCAGTGTTTAGAATGGAAAGTGAATTGAGGCAGAAGGTTTCAGAAAGGAAAAGAAGGTTTCCTAGTTTTTAAGGCACTGGACTATGTTCCAGGAGATCTGTTTCTGCACTCTGCTAAAGACTTTTTTGTGTTGCTTAGCAAAACTGTCATAATATATATGCCTCAGGGAAGCCGACTGAGATTTCATGGGTAACCTCAGTACTTGCATTTCCTAACATTTATTTGCTTGACATTTCAACCTCTCTGTTCTTTTTAACATATTTTTGTATATAATTAAATTCTTAACACATGGAAAATACATAATGTTTCTACACAAAAGCATCTGTTTCAGATCCAAATAAATTCACACTGATCACAGGTCATGAACAGGAAATTAATTAACAGCAAAGATGTTAAGTTGCTGTCCATCATATACACATATAATATTTTAAAGAACTTCAAACAGGGTAGGGAATCTATAATATGCAAATGTTATAGACTGGTCAGAACCACAACTTTGTATAGAAGAAAATCAGTTGAATTTAAGAAATGTAATTTCTGATGACAATTAATCAAGATAATCAAATACAAACAGAATATAACAATTGAATAATTTAAACAGAAACATGTATCAGAGGAAGCAAAGGAAAAAAAATCCCCATACCACTGCAAATGTTCAATAATCATAAAGGAAAAAAAAGGAAAGAAGTTATGCTCCCTGTACAAATGTAAGAAACAGAGAGCCTTTACCAACCCTACTAAATATATCACCACATTTCTTATCTTAACCAGTACATACTAATCTTTTCTTCAAAAAAAAAAAATTCAATCCAAGTAGTGGCAATATTCTAATGAAAACATTAAATTGCCTCTCTCTGATTAAGTTTGATTCTATCTTTGTATCTCCTCCTCATTTCAATTTAAAAATCTGTTCAGTATCCACAAACAGTAGAATGCAAATAGGATAATATTTTCCTGTCAGACATCTAACAACTGGAAAAGTAATGTCATCTACATTTGTGTTTATTAACTGGTGTTTTATGAGTTCTAGCAATCTTTCTGATATTTGAAAATCCACAAGAATGTTTCAGGAAATAGACTGTATTTCATATCAGTATTCTTGTTATTTTCATATCTCTAGAAATATTTCTTTTCTGGGTTATTAAAATTTAGTTCTGGTAATTCTGTTATGACAATTATTACATAATAAACAAGAAAAATTCCCAGGAATAAAATTGGTAAGAAATGGGATGCTGTGTCATGATTACTAATATTTTGAACATAGTAGGATATATATTTCTCCTTTTCCAGAAAGGCATCATAGGTAATTCATTATGTAAGTCACATATATATTCATCTAATCTAATCAAGAACATCCCAATGTGTTAACAAATGGTATTTCAGTATTATCAACTTTAACCCTAGAGTTTTTTAAACAAAATCTCCCTGCCTACTTCTAATACTTCTTTTGTATTTGCTGAATAGTCTTATCATAACCCATTAATATCAACCTATCAAGCATTATTTCATCCTGTTTTATCATATATTATCTGTGGTCAAAATATAGTCCCTTGTATTTTCAAACTGTTGAAAGTTGTTATATATGTAACACCGGCAGGTGTAATTGTGCATGAACCTCTACCACATGAGCTAAAAGGCTCTTAGCTAAAGCTGTAGAACAGACTCATTCTTCCTTTGTATAAGTGGTCTCAGGTCTACTAGATGGGACAATACACTACACCCAGAAGGTGTGTAGGTTACATGCACATATGGGTTTCGTGTGGCTTTTTTTATTTATCTTTGTAAGTGTAAGGTCTTTGGGACAGGGACTGTCTGATGGGTATTGTAGGAAGCTGAGCATATTGTCAGCATTTATGTAATTAATAATAAGGGTCATTAATCAGTGGGTATCCATTATCTGTTCTTTCAGTTTCACTCTCAGTAAGCATAAAAAGTATCATCAAGATCACTTTTGTCCACCCCATCTGCAGTTCTCTTCCTAGATCTTCATTACATTTATTTTCACTCATTCAGGTGCTAGCTGTTGTCTGTTGAAACCTAATCCTGCCAGACTGATAATGTTAATGCCTCTTTGGCATACCCTTTGGAACTGTCTCCTTTATACACTGCAACCACAATGCCAGTAACAGCACTTATACCTGTCTTTGTACCACCACCATTCCTTTTTTATGAATAGTGATGCACAAATGTAAGGCAGCTCATTCATACCCCTTGGAGAGCTTCCAAATAAACACATAGTTAAGGATTCAAATAGATCATTGTCCAACTTTTTTTTTCATACACTAATCGCAGCATCAGTAGCTGTTTCTGTAATCTCACATACATTATTCTCTCTCAACTATCCATTTGATGTTCTACCTCTGTTTATTTTAATAGTTTGTGACCACATGAAAGCTCACAATTACTCCTTATTGATGTTAGCATACCCTCATTTTCCAATTGAGTGAAAAGCTACCAGTGAAGTTTACAGATACAGACTTTGTCTATTTATTCAGAAAAAAAAATGTTTCAGAGACATCGAGTCAATTTTCAAAGTAGTGCAGTATGTTTTACTTATTCAACTCTAATTCACCTCAGTAAAATATTCATGCCCTATTGTAAAAACGGGCTGCCAATGTTACCACAACGAGGAGTCCTGTGGCATTTTAAAGACTAACAGATTTATTTTGGCATAAGCTTTCATAGGTCAAAACCATTTCGTCAGATGAATTTATTTTTTCTTTAAGGATGAGCTATCAGATCAAGTTTGTTCACTGTGATAACATGGTCTCAGAGGGGTAGCCTGTTAGTCTGTATCTATAAAATCAATGAGGATTATTGTGGAACCTTAAAAATTAACAGATATAAAATAAATCTGTTACTCTGAGAGGCCTGGTATACACTAGGGAGTTATTTTCAAATAACTCCGCTTATTTCAAAATAGCAAGCAGAGCAATCACTCTACCAAGCCCGTTATTTTGAAATAAGGGGCTAGTTATTTCAAAATAATAACTCCTGCTATTTTGAAATAACTACTCTCCAGAGTCATTCAAAGTAATTATTACTCAGTGCTTCCTGGGCTCTAAGTTGAGGTACTGTGTTCACATTAAGGGAACTTACCTCGGACTAATTTTGAGGCTTCCCTGTAGTGTGGACATGCTATTTCGAAATAGTTATTTTGGGAGTTATTATATTAAAATAAGTTATTTTGAAACAGTTATCTAGAGTAGACATGCCCTAAGGTGCCACAGGACTCCTTGTTGTTTTTACAGATACAGATTAATATGGCTATCCCTCTGAGACAGTACTATCACAGTGAACAAACGTGATCTGAATAGCTTGACATTAGCAAAAAAGAAAAAGGAAAACATGGGAGATGTTTAAGTTCTGTTTCTAATTTTCCATGGAAGTTCTATACAATTTACTACAAGACACTTAAGGTCATGTCTACACTAGGAGATTATTTTGAATTTACTAAATTTGACTTTTGGGCATCCGATTTTACAAATTTAAAGTTCCGTGTCCTCACTACAGGGAAGAATTGAATGTAGTCCAAAGCAGTCTCCATTAATGTGAACGTACTAACTCAGTCTCAGCAGACTCAGATCCCCATTCTGGAGAGCTAAGGGAAGCCTCTCAGAAGCCAGTTAGTTTGAATTAGCAGCACTGGAGTGTCCACACTAATGTTATTTTAGACGTAACAAGTTCAGGAATAATGTTATTCCTTGTGAAAAGCAGGACAATAGTTTGAATTCTGTGGTCCCTTACTTCAGAATAATGGGCTTGATAGTGTGGCTGCATCACTCAAATTTGATGTTGGAGGGCTAATTTTGGACTAAGATCCTAGTGTAGACTAGGCCTTATATTCCTCAACTGATACATACTTAACTCACAGGGATGTTAAAAAGTTTAGTTCACTGGTATTTTGAGATCGTTGGATCAGAGTGTGACATGTTATTATTATTATTAATAACAAACCTAGTAGTGGTGACTTTGTGTACAAATCACACACATAAACAACATTTTATGGTGTTTGATTGGACTTCCCTTATAGTGGTTTGGTGACCTTGTGACTCCAGTATGGTGGGAAGATGTGTGGCTAAAAGAAGGTTTTGCTCACTATTTTGAATTTGTTGGAACAGACTACCTCTACCCAGGCTGGAATATGGTAAGTTAATGATATTTCACTAGTTTGGAAACTCCACTGAAAGGCTTTTTTCTTATTATAGTCCCGCTTATGTTACTGTTAGGGTCTGCTGAAGATTACCAAATGACATGAGCAAGTATCAGATGTTCAATAAGGGAAACTCAATGGATGTGAAATAATTTGACAGCATTCCAAAAGTGTAATCTGTCCTTTATTACCAAAAGAATAAGGTCTTGTCTATCATAACCCAATGTTAAAATAACTGCCATTTCTCCATTCAAAAACATTTCACGAGGGTAGTGCTTATTGAATACCAACTATTGCTGAAGAGTGTATATTAATGAAAGATATTAATGAACGATCTGTATAATGTTTTCTGAGGTTCTCAGAACATTGCATGTTAAGTTATAACAATATAAATGGAGAAGGAAGATTTGGGTAAGCCATATAGTGAAACTGAATATGTTACTACAATATTCTGCTTTTCTCTAAGGCCTGGTCTACACGACAGCGGAAGGTCGACTTAAGATACGCAACTCCAGCTACATTAATTGCATTGCTGGAGTGGATGTATCTTAAACTGCATTTCCACGCCATCCACACAGTGGGAGGTAGATGGAAGCAAATACACCTTGTGAGGAGCAGGATTACTGGTGCTGATGGGAGCACCCTCTGAGTTCGACTTAGTGGGTCTAATATAGACCCACTAAATCAAGCCCCAGAAGATCGACCATGGCAGTGTCCATCTTCCATATAGTGTAGACAAGGCCTAAATTATCTTTGTTAATATATTATTGTTTTGGCATCTAGGATTCCATATTAATCCTCAGAACTTAGTGTGGGGCACAGTTTATAATATGCAGTCATATAGTAAGTCACAGGATCAACTTCTGTCTCCTGAAATGTGTGCAGTGGCCATTAGCCCACTTGTAAAAGAGCCAGGAAATACAAGTTGGGTTATCCCTTTCTAGTACCTGTTTTTGTAGATCAACTGCCTAGGTCATTCCCACTTTCATCTTCTTTTATTCTTCAATACAGGAAGGTGTAATACCTTGATCACTTTAATAGTGAAGAAAGATAAAAGTTAGACACAGTTAAAGAGGACATACCTTCCTCATGAACATGTCCAGGATGTCTGTATACTTTGCAATGTCTCAGGAATTAATTATTTTATTCTCTGTAAACTTGCCTTTCTTTTGAACTTCTAGTGTTAGGTATCATATGTGACTTTTGTTTTTATATATACACAACTTGAGTGATAAAGATTTTAAAACAGAGAGTTGGTATTTTAAACGTTTTCGTTAAACTCAATCACTTAACTTCTGAAATTGTTTTGCCACTTCTTCACTTTAGTTCCATAGTTTTAGACATCTTATTTTTTTCTGAAGTAAATTAAAGATGTAATGACTAAGAATTAAATCATCTACAAGCTCTTACAAATTGTAAATAAGAACTTTTTGAATTTAGGGACATTTCTGTTTGAAGTCTGTTTTTTTTTTATTCTGTCAATGTTTAAATTTTGGTGTAATATTCCTGATTCATAATTACATTGTGAAAAAAGAAAAAAAAATCTATATCTGAATGACATCTGCCTCATGTGGGTAAACTTGCTGGGTTCACCTTCCTTTTGGTATAGTGTAACTCATTCTCTTCTTTGTTTTGAAGAACACACCTTGAATTACAATATAAACATTCTAATTATAAATGTAATAGACTCTGGCAGCTCTTGATGATTTTAGCATAGATAAATTTAATAGACTACAATGTTCATACACTAGTTTTTAATCTTTGAATCATCATAGTTATTTGTTCTTTGCATAAATACTTTAACAAATCCAGAATAACTTTGCTTTAGAAGTCATCTTGAATGGAGAATATTTTTTGAGAATTCCTGTGGAGTGAATGTAATGTGCAGTGTTATGCAAATAATGTACAGGAGAACCAAAAGGCATGTGGGTTGAATAAAGTATGACAGTTAAACCTTGGAAATCAGAAACATGCAGTGTATGAATTAGAATTAATAACAGTAAAATGGCTGTGCCAGAAAAATATCTATCTGTCAAGTTATTTTAAATGAAAAAGGGAGAGCTGACATACACCTTTCATGAGGCTTCTGATATCATTAGCTTTAGATGCCAAAATAACCATAGTGACATCTAAATAGTTAGAAAACTGGTGGTAAGATAGAACACATGACAAGTTAAACAGTACAGCATCCTACTGTGGTGTATTTTACCGACTACAGTGGGAATTAATAATCTGATGTTTCTCTTTTTTATACAGATGGTGGGACTAACAAGCAAAAGGTGGCTATAGAGATCAAATTTTGGCATTTTGGTTATTTTTTGTTGTCAGTGCAGAATACATGTGCTACTAAGATTAGCCTGACATCTAAAAACCTAAGCAACTAAAAGTAGTAACAGAAAAAAATTATTCTAAACAATTCTGTTTATTCAAAAGTGAAGGCATATACATTACAAGATACATGAAATCAGTTGTAATACCAAGAACCTTTAGTGCTATTTCTCAGAATGATGTTACTTAAATAGCCAGAGGAACAACACAGAAGACTACATAATGTTGCATCAACAGAGATTCAGACCTGTGAAATATGCATAAAAGCTTCTAATGAATATGCTCATATGGGGCTTTGAGAGTAATTTGTATTAGGAAAACCAAAAATAACATAACAAAATCCAGTCTCTTCCCAAGGAATGGAGAAAGGTAGAAAGTTAACCCATTTTGGTAATCTTAAAATTTTACTTTGAAATCTTCCCCTGATCTTCAAACTTTGGGGTGATAAATTTTGTTATGCTAGTCTTAGTAATGCTATGCATTAACACTCTCTGTTGCTTAGCTTTCAGTTAACATGGGAAAACAAAGAATTTTTATGGGGAATAATTTATAATTTTAAAATGCATAATTAATATCCTCTTTCTAATACAACTTGTCACTCTGGGAGTTAAGACTAGGGAACCACATCAATCCTCCACTGTTGCCATATTTCCTGTCAAATTTTATAAAGCTTTTCAAGCAGAAACCGGCTCCTATTTTTTTATGTTTGCAAAAGATACCTTGAAATGGAATGATGTCCGAGACATATTGATTCATTTCACCATCTTTCCATTAAAAATTAAAAAGGGATAAATCTGGGCGTAAATCGTATATGTCTATTGTAATATCAAAACATTGCAATGGTTCTTGCATTCAGACATATTCTCATCATCCCTTTATATATACTGCCCAGATGGGATTCAAGGCGGGAAGGTAAGTCTTACCTTTAGGAGAAAAATTACATTATTGTATATCATCCTTTTCTCATTCCACTAGCAGTCATTAATGGACCAACAGCATAAAGGCTCAACCTGTAAAAAGTCACAGAGCCAAACCTTACTCAATCAGGCTCCATATATAAGGTCGGATTCCATTCCTTAACTAAAATCCTTGCTATTTAGTTTGGGGTATTCTAACCAGCCCATTGAGGAAACTAGTCCCTTCCTTGTCTTTTCCAGTGCAATATTCTTTAGTTTGGTGGGCCTACTTGCTTCACATATATAGCGAATCTAGCTTTCCATCTCCTTCTCCCATGACGTCATTTCTGAGGCCACTCTCTCATGATGAAGAGTCCACCTTTCTTTTAATCTCCAGGATGGGCTTCTCTCAAACTCCTACCCTGAGAGGTGCTTTCTTTGTCATGCTAATGGCAAACAGGCAGGTGAGGGAGCTGAGCATCTGGATTATCAGCCCCCAACACATTCCGCTCTTTTCTAAGAAGGTGCAAGTTAGCTTCCAGCTGGATATTTTTCCTAAGGTAAACACCAAGGGTATGTCTACACTACCCCGCTAGTTCGAACTAGCGGGGTAATGTAGGCACACCGCACTTGCAAATGAAGCCCGGGATTTGAATTTCCCGGGCTTCATTTGCATAAGCCGGCCGGCGCCATTTTTAAATGCCGGCTTGTTCGAACCCCGTGGAACGAGGTGTACCGATAGTGTGGAATGGCTTGCTAGTTCGAACTATCTAGCCCGTGCCGCGTGTAGCCGCGCGGCACGGGGTTCGAACAAGCCGGCATTTAAAAATGGCGCCGGCCGGCTTATGCAAATGAAGCCCGGGAAATTCAAATCCCGGGCTTCATTTGCAAGTGCGGTGTGCCTACATTACCTCGCTAGTTCGAACTAGCAGGGTAGTGTAGACATACCCCAAGTTTCATATGAATTATCTCATTATTCTTCCCATTTCTAATCCTTTCTGCTCCAAGATAGTACATTTTGAAATTTTGTCTCATTCTTAAATGTCCAGAAAGTTAAAACCATGACTTCTGAGATTTTAGGGCTGTTATAAGAGGAAATTGACTACTAACATGACAGCCATGTGAGCCCGACAGTGTATTTTGACAGTATAGGATCATTATGGCTATCCTTATATGAAATTCCTAAAGACTAAATTGTTGCCATTTCATGATTAGTGAGAGGCGAGACTCTCATATTAGAGGCAAGCAAAGCAATTCCAGCTGCATCTGACTGTAGCCTAGTGATGTCTTCTGCTACAACCGAAATGGCTGAAATGGTAAGGTCAACCTATCCCTGCTGGGAGTAGTGGATGTAGGTGTCTCTGTTATGAGAAGATGGGTAAATTACAGGGGAAAACTACCCACTGGTAATTCCCTTTGACATAGTCCTGTACTCTTCCATCCTAAACTTCACTCCCCTCCCTCTGAGGCAGATTTGCCACTTTTGATAGAGAGGGAAACAATCAGGGACATTTATAATAGGACTTTTACCTCTTTGTTTCATGGTAGGTGGAGCCATCATCTTGTCTGTACTTGAGTGTTTCTGTTAGTGGGATAGGACAAGTGGAGTATGCCAAAAAGAATTACTGGCAAGTAATCTTCCCTTTTACCCTTCAAACACAAATACCATGCGTTAGCAGTCATTCCCTGGCTTGATGCTGAGAAAGCATTTCATGGAGCTCAGTAGTTTTCTCCTGCTTCTTTATTTTATAAGAGTTTGGTGACAGTGAC